CAATGTTAAGTGGGAATATAGTACACGGCAGACACATCAATTTTTGACACTGAACATTTCATCCGTAAATGTTTTAGCATAATTTAAAGTTAAAAACAGCGCGAATGGCAGAGTGAAACAAACAACATCTTTCACCCATTGGTATAACATGTAATCTGTGGTGCGCCAGATGCGCCATTATTTGTCAACCGCAGAAGGTGACATGTGACGTAACAGCATCAAGAGCATCTTTTTTCAAGAACTTTTCAAAACAAGTTTCCTATCTTTCTTCCCCCATTTCTCTCAGCATATTGATTTTATGAGGCAATGGTATGCACCATAAATTCTGTGAAAATAGTTTTATCATTTTCATGCATTCTTAAAAAATCGAGTTCCCAACCCCATTCCCACCTGCAATGACAAGGACGAGAGGTTGTCGTCGAGGATGATCAGGTCACTTCGGCGACGGAGTCTGTGGAACTGGTGGTCTAGGAGAGAAGGTGCGCTCACTTCTGACAGCTGAAAAAAAGAGGAATGGAATTTTCTAGACAGCACTCTGCTAGGTGACTAGGGGGGGGGGGAGTAACGCACATTAAACATGACCGGGCGCAACGTTTCACATACTGAAGAGGGTTGTGTGACCCCTCGCCGTTTCGCCCCTAATTGAACAAAAGTTTTAAAAAAAGCAAGCGTGTGCGCCGCTCCGACTGGTACCTGCCCAATTTAAGATCTTATTAGCATCAAAGTTGTGCTTATCTTTCGTATGACGTTTATGAAGCCATTGAGATTTTTGACTTGCTAGCTGCATTAGATTAAGAGTCGACCTTAGGACGTCATTTATGACGTCACGTGAGGTCCACAATGTAAAAACTAAGAATCATACCTTTTATAAGGAGTTATGAATTCACGATATTATATGTTTGCCATTGTCTTAAGTCATTGCCGGCGCCGACAGTTTCCAGCATAGTTTCATTCTGACTGAGGTTACATGATTCTATTCTTTTCATTGATTTGTAATGGCGAGGTAACGGCACCGACTAGACTTCAGATGACCCATATGAAAATCGAGACATTCTAGTTGTAAGGATTCATGAGCACTGACACTACTTCCTGTAAGCTTCAACAGAGGTTTTCTAAGGTTATTGACCTTGACCTGACATTCACGTGACCTTGATATCCGGCATAATCCATGGGTCAAACAGCATTTCACATGTCGGCTCGTTTGTAATTACAAAAAGTCTAAAATGCTGAGATAATATGCACTTACAGGGTCCGGCAAAAGTTTTGTCCTCTCCTATGACAACACTTTCCGGTCCCTAATCGTTTCTACCCCTAAATGATAACGGTTCTGACTGCACCTTTGCATTGCACGGTCTTTGGCCGCTGAACATAAGGTCGCGAACGGACCTCGGGTCACGGATCACCGAACTACGGCCAGTTTCCCACAGATTGTTCACCCGAACGGCCGTGTCGAAAAATGAAGGTCTGAAATTTCTATCTTGGGGAGCTGAACCAGACAGCCGGCATGCTCCAGGCCGTTATGACATTGCACCCCATTGCTGATCAGTTGGGACATGTGCCTGCTTAGTTCGGCGTTGGTGGGACAAGCATACGGCTGTTGGCAGCGTTGCTGATCGTTCCAGTTTGGGCGTTCGTCTACCATTTCGACCGTGAAAGAAATCGCATTAAAAAATGCGGTCGGGAAGAGGCCACTTGGCGACAAAATTGGTCAAGCCGCTTTCGCGCAAGGGCTGCTCCATCTTCAGACAGGACCGTGAGACGCTATTGGAAGAGCTCTCTGAGGCTCAGTACCTACCAGAGCCTCCAGCGGCTCACTTCTAAGTCGATGGAAGTTCGTCACGCAGTTTCATTCAGGACAGTGCGCTAGTTCATCGCTGTCAAGACCCAGCGGTGGTGCGAATCGAACATGCCGGACTTCTGAAGGGGAAGGAGGTGTTAGCCGGCTACCATCCTGATCTAATCCTGATTGATGAATTTTGGGCTATCGTCCAGCAGTACCTGGACAAACAGAAGCCGGCGACCAGCCTCAGCGCACTGCCGTTACAGCTCAAACGGACATGGTCGAAAATCAAGCCGTCTGTACCTCACAACCTGGAGCTGCCAGCATGTCAGATTCTGTTCTAGCGTAACTCCCTGTTCGTGAGGAAAAGTACTGGACGCTTAAACGAATTGCTGCCTCTTATATATATAGCAACTTAGAGAGCACATCTTTTGAGAGGACCAAACTTATGCAGGCCCTGTACGTACGCCGAATCACCGCTATGACCTAACATGGTCCCGAGAAACAGGTCAAATGTCATTGGAGTCAGGTTCATGAAATTTTCTGATCATGTATGAAATTACTGACTGTTCCGGTGGTATCCACCGCATTTTAGGCGAGTCTTTCGTAAATAAAATACTGACGTTTTCATGCGATCCCTTATAAGTTCGAGGTCTAAAAGCATTCCAGGGAAACCGGGCGACGGTGTACATTGAAACTCCTAAAACATTTTCTGGAGGATCTATTTTTCATGAGTACCTATTTATCCTCGTCCGCGCACTCACCAGTCGCCTGTTGTCGTTGACGTCGATGAGAGACGGCTGCGAGGTCTGCAGGTGCAGCTTGGGCACCAACAGCAGCTCGCTCTCCGAGCTGCCGTAGCTGAGGCGCGACTCGTGGAACTCGAGTTGGCTCCCTTCTAACCCCCGGCCGAACGTGTGGAAATCCCGGCGTGACACGTGGCTCTCGTGGCGCGACACGTGGTCCCTCGGAGACTCGTGGCTCTGGTGGCGGCGGCGCGGTGAAGTGGAGGGTCCCGCGCGGACCGGTATCCGACTGCTGCGCCGGCCGCCACTGCCCTCGGAGCCGGCACGCGGTGAGCGGGGCTCCGACACGCGAGGCGAGCTCCTGGCGCCGGGGGTCTGCCCTGACACCTCTGAGTCGCGGATAGGACCGGCGGGGCCAGCCGCACTGCCCGCTGTCTGCCGCTCGCCGCTACCGGGAGCGTCTGACGGTGTGGCTGCGGTCGCTTCACCAACTTCGGAGTTGGACGGCTTGCTAGTCACACTGTCCGGTGCCTTTTCTTTGTGACGTCGCTCGAGATGCAAGTGATGGTAGGTTTTTGTGCGGCGAAACTCTCCCTGCTTGTTGAGCTGGATAAAGTCCTTTTCGGGTCTGTCGATAATGTGATGTGATCGGCACCTTTCGACCGCTTTTGGAGCTTTGGCAGCAACTTGTGGTGTCGTATCACTTTCCTTCACTTTGGGAGGGTCTTTTTCTGGCTCTTTGGTCCCTTCTGTCTGTTTCTCAATGTTTTGACGCAATCTAGCGATCACTGGCAAACTTCGCACAGCCACTGGAATGCGGGACTGCCTCTCTGCCTTGGTCCTACTTTGGTCTCGCTTTGCCTCCTGTTTAGCCGTGTTCGCTGGCGAACTTTCGGGGACGCCTGTATTTTTACTCCTTGGGCTGGAAACGGCGACTTCTGCCGATTGGTTATGCTTACATATTCGCGTCTCATCATCTTGAGTTATTTCGAGGTATCTCTGGACCACGTGTGGCTTGTGGGGCGCGGTGGGAGCGTCTTCGCTGATGAATAGGGCAGACACCTTATGGTGGTGGTGGTGCGTCTCGAGGCTGCCCACCAGCGTGGCAGACTTGCTAACTGATGCTACATCGCAGTGGCTTGATGACAATATGTTATTGAAACTTGGAAACTCAACATTACTGCTGTGCGAAACATTCAAACCATTATTCGGCTTGTCTCTCCCGGCTGTTCCTTGGCTTGTGTTTTCCAATGAATCAGCTGACACTGATGTAGTTTTTTCCTCAGGGATATCGCTGAGTGTAGATAGGTTTTGTTTGCTCATGGCATACCAAAAGTAAATTTGAAATCCAATATTTTAGCATAGGAAATTGTAATTTGACACTTTTAGTGTAAATAATGATGAGGATAGTATTTTTACAAAGAAATCATAATCTCAACGTCTCAACTGTAAATTTGTCGACAATCGTGTGTTGCGGCATTCCGGTTTTACCCTGCACGATGATATTGCAGTGGGGCACCGTCTATCTTGATGGTTACATGAATATTGCATGGGATGATGGGACAAGGCGCATGAGGCAACGGATAACACACAGGACAATTTCTGACCACCGAGTTGACGTCACTGTCGCTCGAATGTGGGTACCAAAACGTTTGTTATTCGCCTGGGCTTGCTCTTACCCCGAGGGTTTTAGTTATAATAGGGACGGTAATTTTGTTACTCTTTGCTACAGTAATTTTGTAAGTTATTCCTCACTGACGGAGCCAGGAAATGCTGTTTTCGTCGCATGAGAAGAAAACTTGCACATCTTATCAGAAAAAGATTGTTTATGCAGCACTGCAACGGTTAGAAATTGATTATTAAGAAATAAATAGAGAAATTGATTAATCGTTAATTCCACGTTGTGCAGAGTCATATTAAGTAATTGCTAAGGCTTGTCCCTCTATAGCGAGTTCGAAAGGTAACTAGCAGCCTAGAAAAATATTGCTCTTAAGTTACTCCACACTTACTGTCGAGCTACTCATTGTTACTGTTAGCTCGATGTGTTGTGCGTGCTAAGTTGCAATGTGTGAAGCCGTACTATTTAAAGATTCTTTCGACTTCTCGCTCTTCGTCTCTCTCTCTCTCTCTCTCTCTCTCTCTCTCTCTCTCTCTCTCTCTCTCTCTCTCTCTCTCTCTCTCTCTCTCTCTCTCTCTCTCTCTCTCTCTCTCTCCTCTCTTACCCTATCTCACTCTCTCTCTCTCTCTCCTCTCTTACCCTATCTCACTCTCTCTCTCTCTCTCTCTCTCTCTCTCTCTCTCTCTCTCTCTCTCTCTCTCTCTCTCTCTCTCTCCTCTCTTACCCTATCTCACTCTCTCTCTCTCTCTATCTCTCTCTTTTCCTTTTTCCTTCCCTCTTATTTATTTTTCTTGTTCTCGTTCTTGTACGAACACGTTGCGCTGTGTCTCCCCCTTATTATGAACACGGGAACATTTTTACGAAGTTGATGTTAGCTGATTTTAGGTACATTCTCGGGTTCCTTGATAACATTTGAATATTTATTGTGTTCCATACCATGAACACTTGCACTGATCACTCAAAAATAGGTCCTACCTATTGGACCACATCAGTATTTGAAATATGTTTTATTAACATTTAATATCTTGACAACCATAGAAACAAAATACTAGGCCCACAAAACAAACATAACTTTTTGCATGGCAGGCGTTGCACAATGCACAGGTCATTATTTTAGATATCTATTAAAAGAAATGAACTTTATCTAAATGAGACATTGCTTTCAAATGAAGTACTGAATCTAGGGCAACAAAGCATCCTTTCACAATCACTCGTAGTTACATTCATTCAGAGTAACACAAGTATTCTGGCTAACATAACGTACTGGCAGTATGTGCTTCACTCATTTCCTGAAAACTCCGCGCATTCCTATATTACGACCGCCAGCGTCCACAGTCTTTGGGTTAAAGATGGTATCCACAGGCTCGGTCGCACATCCAGTAAACAGCGCTCAGAATGCCACTTTGCTGTCACTTAACCGTTTCTCTCAGTTCGCACGTGAACCACGCCCGTGTATTCGCTGCACTCAGTCCCCCCACTCTGCTGTACCGAGCCTGTCGCTCCGTAGCCCCGCTGTCCGCAGTCGGTCGATCTCGCCCCTCGCCCTCCGCTCAGAGGTCCACCGCCTCCCCCTCGAAGATGATCCTCGGCCATGGCTGGCTGGCGTACCCGACCGCGCCGTTCTCGGCGGGCTCCGACGGCTGCTCGGCGGCACTGGCCACGGCGCCTTCAGTGTCCTGCTGGCTGGGCCCAGGCTCTGCTGCGGCGGCGCCTTCACTGTCCTGTCGGCTTGGCCCAGGCTCTGCTGTGGCGGCACTGGCCGCGCCCTCAGCGTCCTGTTGGCTGGGCCTAGGCTCTGCTGCCGCGGCGGCCGGCGGGTGGTGCGACCCGGTGGCACTGCGGTTCCGCTCCTTGGCACTGCAGAGCGACAGACGACGATGTATTAGACGATCGCCGCTACGGTGTGTTTGAAATGAGTCTTTGGCTTATGTTCTACATTGTATATTTAAAACTCTCGTTAAGTTAAAGTTACAACTCCGCTATGCTTGTGTTGCTTCAGGGTGGGTGATGAGTTTGTTTACCTGAAAGTGAAACATTTTATTCGTCCGTTGAGTACATCAGACAAAAGTTCGCACGATCGACGGAGAATGTCATGAGGACGGAGTCATGAGAATGTCATGAGAATGTCATGAAACGGAGTCATGCGCTTTACAAATATTGTGATAAAATTTAAGCATGACACTTCAATATTAAAACTAACTTGCAAGTATTGTATTGCCCCGATTTCCGCTAGTCATGTCAGCGTTTTGACCCGCTACCTACCCCTGTCCGTCTCCGTAAGACGCTATGGTGACGTTCGATGGCAGCGCTCCGCCCTGCTGGCCGGCGCTGTCGCTTGATCCGCCGCGCTGCAGGGAGTTGCGCCTCACATTTGTCTTCCGCAGCATGCTCTGCGCCAAATACGTCGCAGAGTCAAAATCGACGACGGGTAGTTAGCGGGCCTTCAGCGTGAATGGGCGGCTAATCCGGTATCTGTTATTGAAGACCTTTAACTTCATTATGCTCTATGATTTTGTATAGTTACTTGAGCTCCTACCCGGCAATTGAGAGCATGCAGATGCTGATTTAGGTAAGCGAGCCTAGTGGTCTGCTGTGTAGTTTCAACAATTTGCTCCTTTTGGCAGATGTGTGCTGCCCAATAATGTGACGTCATTGTTTCCCGGCTGGGCGCAAAATGACCTAAGTAGTCGGCGCGTCCTAAAGCCCCAATTAACAAACAACAAACAAACAAACAAACAAACAAACAAACATTGATTCCCGGCATCATATGTCAGCTGACCTGGAAGTTGAAGGGTGGCGCGTCCTCGTCTGCCTGTCTGGCTCCCCTGTCCTGCATTTCCTGCATGAATGGAGCCGGTGCCGATGATGTGGTCGCCAAACTGCCGACAAGGAACCCACGGGGCGGGGTCAAACGGTCGGTGTCAAACTATTATTGTTGTTCTCAGCTTTAAAGCGAAGCACATGTGGTGTAGGTATTTTTATGATAGAAGAATCAAGTGTAATTATCGTCAATAGTTAATTGCAATACAGGAAATGCTAGTCTCTGGCGGCCTATCAGAAAAGATGGTTACTTCAAATTGTACCTTTACTGTGTGAAAAAGTTTACCGGTCATTATGAATTTCACTTCCTGCTTTAAATATGCCCTGGCACTTTATTCAGGTATTGGAAATAACTGAAATGTTTGCATTGTAGGTAAATGTTCGCGCGCGGATGTCATGCTTCATGTCTTCTACGTCGGTTACCTGATCTGACATGATAACGACATTGTCGCCACAATATCAGAGGTTAATATCAGAGGTTAATATCAGGCTAATATCAGAGGTTAGCTGATACATAATTCTGTTGTCCAGGTCGCTAATGAGTCATTGGGATTGGGGCGTGGCAAGAACTGCCAAGCGGCGCTGCGGTGCAAACTTCTAGCTGTTCGGCGGCACAGCATAACTTCAGGCGCTAACCTTACTGCCATCTAGGGCCTGCCGTCCGTACTTGAAGTGTGTGCGACGGACTACGATAGATGTCGCTGTTTCCACTCTGAGTTGTCGACAACGGGGGTCTTTCAAGGGCTGTTTTATCTACTCTCCACTGGATTAGGAGGTCGCTCGAGTCTGCCATCTGACTGCTGCTGTTCAAAGTGATATTTGCCGAGTGGTGAACGCCGGTTGAAGAAACGGCTTATCACTGTCTAGTGTCTATTGGTTCACGACTCACGAGTGAGCAGTTGGTCGTTGCTTACTATGAGTACCTAAGTGACCGTTACAGTAACATAGACTCAACTCTAACTTGCGTTTTACCCATGTATGTACTCTTGTTCTCAACCAATGTGTCAGCTTGCTCCAGTTCGGGGTCCAGGACTCGTATATGAGCTATCCGTGGTTGAAAACACCTCGTCCTCCGCCCCAATCGCCATTCCTAAGGACTGTTCCCTCCGTCATTAGGCTCACCGTTTTCCCCACCCGGTGTTGCCGGCTGCCGGCGGGGCCGCCACCGAGGCGGGCCGCTGCGCCGCGCTGCTGCTGCGGCTGCTGCCTGCGAACCGGTTGTATGTGGGTACCGGTGGCGGTGGTTGCGCGGGGGCCGGGCCGGGCGCTGCGTAGCTCGGTGCAGGCGGCGGTTCTGAGGGCGTGCACGGGGCGGAGCGGGCCGGTGTCCCCGAGCGGGGACTCCCTGTGGAGGGGGGGTCGCGTGGGGTCAGCAAGGTCGGTGGAATAGCAATTGTATACAATTAATGCAATTACTAAAGCGATACCGATCATTTTATGATCGAAGGCTAATATTATCGGTTGTTGTTGGTTTTATTATATTTTCCTTTTAAAGCACGACGAAGCTGCTCGGTATGAACGAGTTTTCTTTAAGCTACCGTAAGCTGGGGCTATTTGAGACAGTGGGGCTATTTGAGACAGTATTTAAAAATGTTATAAAATAAAAACCGTTTGAAATTTATGCTTAATTTTTGCTCAGGCGATTTACTGCTCGATTCCACACCATCCTGAGCAAAAATATCACACAAAATTCCAACGATCTTCATTTTATAGCGATTTTAGATACTGTCTCAAATAGCCCCACTGTCTCAAATAGCCCCACTTTACGGTATTCCAAAATCGGCTCAGTTGATGGCATTGCTCAATGTTTTTGTGTAGTATTTGGCTTAGTTTTGGGTTACCGCTATTTTAAATTTGGTATTATTCGTGAGGCACGAGTCTACCTGAGAGGGTTCAGTTTGCATCAAGACACTCGGCTATGTATCACGACTCACCCGGTCGCCTGTCGAACACGGCTCTAGTTTCCGAGACGGTGGCTGTCGAGCAGGAGGGCATCTCGAACTCAAACTGGGGCGACACGGCACCAGGGTGAGCCCCCAGGTCCTGGCGGAGACCCGGACCAGCCGCTCGGCCAGCGGAAGGGGAGGGCGAGGGAGCTCTTCCGGCCCCGTGGCCAGCGGACGGGGAGGGCGAGGGACCTCTGCCCGTTGCGCCCGCCAGCCGGCCGGTGGAAGGGGAGGGCGAGGGAGCTCTACCGGCCCCGCCCGCCATGCCGGCTCGACAGTTGGGACACGGCTGGGGCGAGGACTCTGGCTCCGGCGTCCGGCTGCGGCTGCAACACGGACAGAGAGCGTCAACGCCGATATAGTTTTGCCAGCTTCTGTCTTTGGATGTTTTGCTAAACCTCTCTTTGATTGCTGTGAGCATTTCGATTGTTGACAGTCATTGCTGCCGGTTCTAAGCACTGCATCCGTCGGTTGACATTTAATTTTCACTCTCCGTCCGTGGGCCGCCGACTGGTGTGGGCTGAACGTGTCACCTGTGAGCTAATGGCTCATTTTAGCTCACTGTGAGCTGAGTATCTCTCACCCTCTGTCCGGCGTCGGCTGGTGCGGGGTGCTAGCGTCACCAGTGAGCTGATTTCTCACTTAAGCTCACTATGAGCTCTTTCACTCACCCTCTGTCCGGCGTCGGCTGGTGCGGGCTGCACATATGGGCTGTGTCCGTGAAGTCGTCCAGACTACGACTGAGCGGCATCTTCCTCACGGCGCCCATCATCTTCATCCTGGCGGCGGTGGTCGTTTTGGCGGTCTCACGGTCCACGGCGGCCACGGAGGCCAGGGGCACCGCCTCTCGGTTACGGTTCAGGTACTGGAAACACTCCTGGCCGTATATGTGCACCTGGGGAAGGGTGACGGGTGAGTGAATGCTGGGTCAGGGAGGTGTCTCTCTCATGCGATAAAACGGATAAACTATCCCATCAGAGGAGTGAGAGGAGAGAGCTAGCTGCTACCGTCGGAGCCGGAGTATGGCCCCGAGTATGACTGTCGGAAGCTATCCTAGGTGAATAGGAGGCTAAGTAGGATAAGACAGTCTCTGCGCCCGTTGCAGGGTGAGAAATAATTGGTAAAGATATGACGATTGACGAGCGATGCATTCTTATGTGCCGTAAAAACGTATCCCTAGCCATCGCCTTCCCACTGACCTGGTGGGAGAAGACGACGAGGTCGTGGTGCTTGGCGGCCCGATACCGCTGCAGCTGCTGGAATAAAGTCCGTCCGCGCCAGCGACGGAAGTACCGCTGGATCGTCCCCGCCGCCAGCGTGCCTGTCGACACACGGGCTTCAGACTCCGCGATAACACGGGCTGTGGCTCTGTCCAGCAGTTTAACCCGGCGGCCGCTGGGCCTCCGCGCCACCCGCCGGCCGCTGGGGGGGGGGGCATATAGTTGCCCCCCTTTACTTCTGCGACGATATCGTCGCAACGCGAAGAGATAGAGAAGCGAAACTTTGCACATGTCTTCCTGAATACCTAGCCGAGGTTGTGTCCAAATTTGGTGTCGATCCCATTTGAAATGACGTCACAGTGACGTCATAAGTGAAATTATAGATTTGCGACTCTCATATTCCTCACGATACATCAGATATATGGGACCGAATATAAAGGGTCGATTATTGGTCAGAAACTAGATGGAAGTGTAGTTAGATGTTTTAGGATGACAGCAGGTGCTGTCTAGTTCATTTACAGTTGAGTTTCATGCTCAGCGTCATCAGAAACGGTCCATATCGGAAAACGACAAAACTTTATGACGTCACTGTGACGTCATCTTAGGTACTACAACCACCAAACTTTCCTCAAACATTGCCTAGGTATTCATTTGAAGCTATGCCAAGTTTCACGTTCGTAGCTCATCAGGTTTCGGAGATATTTCACAAAACGTAAAGGGGGGGCAACTTTATGCCCCCCCCCCCAGCGGCTCGTGGGTTAACAAGTCACCTGCATTCGAGAGGTCCTTCTACAGGCACTGATGGCCACAGAGGAAGCCAAAAGGCAATGACCCTCATTTGACCTGACCCCTAGCATTATGCCTAAGGCAGAGCAAGCGCTGCCCTGTGACTGTTGGCCGGACTGTGGCCGTCGTTTCCTCCCTTTTACCCCAGCTGGGTCCGTTAGTATCGCCGGACTGCATCAGTGCAGGAAAACTCCTCCGATCCAGAGAGATGGCGATCACAGAAGTGAAGAGCACAGTTGACGATGAATTAAACCGACGTCAGAGTACAGGTGCTTTCATTCTGTAATTCAAGTTCTAGTTGAACTTTCTACTCTTATTTTATTTCTTTCATGGATTTGCCTAGCTTCTTGCAGTGAATCGGCGCACTTCAAAGGGGGTCAAAATAACGTTGGCATCTGGCGGAAGTTTCATGCCCTGCCGCGTACTGCACAGACCGGTACTCACGTGGTTCCCCAGCCTCATTGAGTCGTTGCAGATGGGGCGCCGCCGAGGACCTCCTGCGGTAGCGGTCGCCAGTGGCGCCGCCCGACGGCCGGCGCTGGAACTTCCTGTCGCCATCTGTGGTTACAGATGAAGCGATGCGACGAACGGGTCGAGACGGGTGAATTGCAGGAGTCCTACCACTAACGCCTTCTGGCCAATAGCTTTGTTTACGTGATTGATTTGTAGATAAACGACCTGCGCACGGGAGTTCACTTTCCGGTTGAACAGTCGAAAGGTTAGGTATTATTTTCCTTTGTCGGGAGAGGCTCGCAGTAAATTCAAAATACACAACCACGACAGGTTTGTCGTGTCTTGTTTGCAACAGACAACTGGCTGTTCATGGAGCTCTCATTTGTTGAGGCATGTAAAAGGGCTGTAAGTGAAATGCACAATTTGTGCGAAATTATAGGTAGGGGTGTAAATTATAGGCTGGCCCGGACTTTCAGCCTAAGCTCTGGACTTCGTTGAATAATGAAGCTGTTAGAAAAACGCTCGACCTGCCGACGAGTAGTTATTTAACCCGCGCCCTGGTGGGGTCTGTTTATAACGCGACCTGGTGGGGGGGGGGGCTATTTTTTGCCCCCCCCCCTCGTATCTCCGAAACTACTGGACGAATCCGCAAAATTCAAACGGCGTTCGAAAGGCCTGTCAAATTTATCGCAGGAAACCAAATTTCAATTGACCTCGGGGTCACCGATGACGTCACAGGTCAGGTCAAAGATGAAATGTTTCACCGTTCACGGGGCTTCTAGGGAATGCGCTATGACACCGAGAAAAACGCATTTTGTCGAGAATCAGCGGTAGGGCGTCAGTTGCCTAGTAGATATGTTGCTATTAGAGGTCACTGGCAATACCAGGTCAGGTCACAGGTCAGGTCACCAAGGGTCACAGGTCAGGTCACATGAGCCCAACTTTACTAAGGTTGTGTGATACATGTTTTATGGCCAATTTTTCATTTCCAACTCAATGGTGTTGGTTATAAGACTATCAGGTACGGCTTAGGTCACTTTCTGGTGAAGTTCAGGTCAATGTCAGGTCAAAGTCAGGCCAAAAAGGTCAAATCTTAAAGTTGATAGTTTTGCATAAAATGGGTATTGATTCGATGCAGCTCGTCGCGGGGAGTCTAATGGTGGTCTTTGTTTTGCGCTACAGGGTCTAGAATTGCTAAAAATTGAGTTTGAAAATTTGACGTCATCAATTTTGAACAGTTTTTTCGCTATAACTTCGCCAAAAAAAGAGGTATCAATCTCAAATTTGGTATGTGGATGGAAGGCGGTAAGGACTATCACATATATTCCGGTTTTTGCGAAATTCAAAAAACTTTTTGGATTTTTCGATTATTATATCCAAAAAATCTTTTTTTTTATTTTTGGGGGTCAAAATCCAAAAATTTCAAATATCCGAGATAGCAGTTTTGTAGCCCTGTCTAATCTACAGCTTTTATGTCTTTATCATTTTCTGTATTTGCAAAGCTATAGGCCTGACAGCTCTTCCCGCGAAACCCTTTTTTTTCTTTGGGTCGAAAACGGCAGAACATGACGTCACTCTGACGTCATTTCCGGCCAACCTATCATAGCCTTTGGAAAAAAAATTGGTCACAATGTGTAAAATTGATGTCCGGGAGGGTACTGAAAGTTTGGTGACGATCGGCGCAGCGGTTCTGGAGATATATTGAAAAGTCTGGAGGGGGGGGGGCAAAAAATAGCCCCCCCCCTACCAGGTCGCGGGTTAAATGGTCGATATTAACCCTCGCCGGACCTATTGGTTTTCTACATACGCACCGGCCGAGGGGGGGGGGGCGGGTACGACCCCCCCTCGCCGTTTCGCCCCTGGTGGAGCTAGCGCGTCGCGGAAAAAAATGACCGTGTGCGCCGTTACGAGACGCAGAGATTGGTACCCGATTTTAAGGTCCTAGGTCAACCGGTGACCTCTGAGGTCAGGTCAAGTGCCCCAAGGTACGGTTCAGTTTTTGGTGAATAACTTCGCAAAAAACGGCCGCAGAGCCGCGATTTTGGCAGCATCGTGTTCGCCTCGCTCAGGCGCGTCGAATGATATAGGTACCTTTTTGTCCGGGTCAGGTCAACATGGGGTGTTGACCTCAGGTCAAGGTCAGGTCAGCACCCTCAGGTCACGAAGTTGGTCGAAAGAGGTCATGTCGCATATCATTCGATTCAGCAGGTCTTCCTGAATCCATTGGTGGCTGTCCCGACTCGCTAGCTCAATTTGATCAAGAGCTATTGACGAAAAACTAACATGACCTTGATGACGTCATAAATGACGTCACGCAAGGTCAACATTGCAAAAGTGACGCATCTGACCTTGCAAGGAGTGCATCAAATCACGATTCTGTGTGCTTGAGATAGTTGGAGATCGTTCCTGGTGCCAGAATAGCAGTTTTCATTTTTCCCCGTTGACTTATAATGGTGAGGTCACGAAAATGACCTGACCTCATATGACCTTTAGGAAAAATCCGAGATATACAAGTTGTGAGACTCATAATGGATACTAGATCCTGCAAGTTTCATTTCCCTGTGACATCTCCTCTGGCAGTGAGGGCGTTGCGAAGTTGCGTTGCGACATCTGAAGACCGTGCAGAGGTTCACTTATGACGTCATAGGTCAATGACCTGACCTGACCCAAAAATGCGGTTGGTGTCAAAAGATCCGGCTTGAATCAAAGGTCAGGTATGCCAAGTTTCAGCTCTCTATCGCCAGCGTGTTCGGAGCTATCGTGAAAAAAAAACCTATGGGGGGGGGGCGGCACCCGCCCCGCCCCCCTCGGCCGGCGAGGGTTAATGATCAGCCGCTATACTTGTGATTATATGAGTCGTGGCAAATTTCGGGGATGTTCACATTATGTAAAAAATTATTTGACGAGACATCGGTTGCATTGAAACATTGCCATCGTTTTTTATTGAGATTCAGAAAATGTCATTTGAGACGGACTTTATCCGATTGCTTGCAAGGCAATGGATTGCGTGAATTTAGATATCAGCTAAACTTGATGAACCACCCGCTACTTTGAAGTTTGACCTTTTTTCGTACTTCAATCATATCGAGTTTCGATCTATAAAAACGGCAACACTTGAATATTTTTAACGTAAGATTTTGGGCAGACATGCTCTTATCATGTCGTTGTGATAAGCATTGTTAACCCGCGACCGCCTGGGGGGGTCGGATCCGACCCCCCCCCCCTCCGTTTTTCTTGAATAACTCATGAACCGCTTACGTTATCAACTTGAAACTTGGCATACCTTTTCCCCCATCAATTTGACGTCTCCTGTGTGATTTTTAAGAAAAAATTTCCAAAAAAATTTGAGATATATCGATTTTAGTGATGTAACTACATGGCGTTTTCAGTCAAAAAGTGGCAAAAAATCGCCAAAAATCAGGGTTTGAAGCAAATTGCAAATTAAGGACACGAATAGACGCAGCTCAACAAGTTCTTTAAAATGGATATCTCGGATTTTCCATAAAATGCGTTTTTCACCCCTAAAAATTCAAAAAACTATATTTTTGAAAAACAACTAATAAAATCCAAAATTTTCAGAATTTCCAAAAAACCGGAATATATGTTATAGAGCTCTATTAGAACATTAGATGTCCCAAATTTCAACTCTCTATCTTGATTTTTGACCCCCAAAATGTAAAAAAAAATAGCTCCAACATGCATAGGGCATGGTGACGTCATAAGCATTTTCGTGAATTAGGGGCACTTCTGAACATCGCATGTGAAAACAAATGGCACCACTAGATTCCTGGGACAAAGCTCGTCTAGAAAAGTGCATTTTTATGTCAAAAATAAAAAGTTGAAAAATTGACCTTTTTTCTTAGCCCTCGTTTAGTTATGTATGGTATAAACGATTTTTTTGGGCTTTCAATGCACATTTTTCACCAGCTGGGGTCACATATAACCATTACCATCGGATTCGGCGTGAAAAATAAGCCATAAAACATGTGTCGCACGCCCATGTAGCAGAAAGTGAAAACCGTGACCTTTCGTGTCCTGACCTGACCTTGACCCGTACTTAGTATGACCCCTATACGCACATGGTACCTTCACTAGGCCTTTGAGGTCATTTTTGGTGAGTTTCGAGCAGCAGCTATCGATTCCGCTGTCCGTAAGCCTAATCATGCAAAACCCCTGAATTTGACCTTTGACCTGACCTTGACCCGAAAGTTGACCTCAACCTTAAAATCTTAAGATTGCTTTGGGAAGGTCTCGTAGAGACCTTTCGAACGCCGCCTCGCGGGGCTCGGTGCGACCATTGGTTCTCGAGATAACAGGGGGGGTCGGATCCGACCCCCCCCCCCCCCCAGGCTGTCGTGGGTACGGAAATAGCCCAGGCGGTGCCGGGTTAAGCAAACGTGTAAAAATGCATCAACTTTCCATATTTGCATTTCACTGACGTTCTTTTCCAACGTCCGTTTCTAGGTAGTTTTATTTTGTTTTTCAATAGCCTCGAGTTTGTTATTATTTTACGCGATTCGTTTGGCTTACATGACGCTTGTTTTATTCGCACGATAAAAATATTCAGTTAAGGCTTGAAAACTGGTTCCACTTTTGCAATCATCTTAGCCAACCATCCCTCATTGATGCATTAGGTGAGTTTAATTAAATGCGATATTTTCCGTGTGGTATCTTTTTCGCTATCATCAGCAACACATTTGCTGATGATATTACTGATTTACTTATTTCTATTATTTTACTGATCTTGTTTACTTATTTGTTCAGATTCAATCAGCTGATCGACGACAATGACGTCATCGGGACTGTTGGGCTCTGACGCGATAAGATGAGCTCTGCAGAGTGCTACGATGAGTCATTGGTTTGCATGTGTATTTGGACACGTAAGCACCATACTACTGTCTCTGAATCTCATCTTATACACTTACATCATACAAGGTTATTATACATTTACCGAAAACGTGTTTATGCGAGAGAATGCAAATAGCTGGTAAGATGATGCATTTTTAGCATGTTTGCATATTGACAATGACCTTACGCCTGTGTCACGGCTAGATTTGTGGTAGCGTTTCATCGGTATGGGGCTGAAACTAACCGGCCTGGAATTTGCCCACTGTGCCGCAGGTCTCCCCCATATATACTGCGGCACAGCCGGCCCCGGTGAGCATTCGTGGGGTGACAGGAAAGCCTCAATGTTATGCTGGAACGTAGCATTTTACGAAAAGGTCACTCAAACCAACTGTTTTGCTTTCCCTCGCATTTACAATGAATGCGCAGAAGGTGTTGCCCTTTCCACTGAGCGCTTACAAGTGTTCTCAGCATTCTATCAGAGGTCTTAGGGCGACCACGTAAACTGCAATATCAATCCAATCATCAAGCGTACAAGCGACTAGTGCTCTCTGAGATGCATAGGCATAAGGCAAATGACCGATGGCTTAAGCGCACACCTCTACTTGCACTGCGATAGCGAATAACATGATAACTAACGCACATATCTCGCCCGGATATAAGACATAAGTCCCTCCGAACATAATTTAAGCTCATTTCCTATGCAGCGGTTGATCTAGCTAGACTCTCTACAAGCATGCTAAATACAGGGAACACACGGGTGACACAGAACACTTCACATGTTCCATCTAGCTTATTACCTTTCTCAATAATAATATGTGATATCAGTGATTACTCGACTTTTTTTTGCGTACTAACGGATAGTCTAAGATCGCCTTTTTAACGTAGCTGGATATGGTGAACAACCAATTCTTAACGGTGAGCGATTAAAAGCCCTTACGCCATCCTTGGTCTACTCAAAGCATAATAATGCATAATGCACATTGTCGATGGACGATGCTACGCGACATTGAACTACCATCGGGTCGCGTTTCATGCGTACCTATCTAAGTCCACTTGGGGGTACACTGATCTGTATGATGTTTGGTTCGTGTGGATTGTGAAAGAGCCTACCCTGAGATCTATTTGATGTCATCATTCCACATATTACTGGCTATCGTCATCGGCTGGTTCTACTTTGGTTACCGACTTAAATCTCATTAACCATCAACGTAAAAAACAAGTCTGACTTTTCTTCAATTTACAACGAGGATATCCCATCTCGAGGTATAAAAAACACTAATTATGTCCAATTTGGATCACTTATCGGTTGAAGTATTGTCATGTTTGTTCTATTCAATATGTTCATGGAAATGCTAATCCTCCATTTCGTTCATATTTAGTGCACCAATCATGCAGTATGCCCCTTTTCGGTATCTTTGTCCCTATTCGATGCCTCCGTCCTTAGGAAGCTCTCCATTTAGTCCCTTTTGAACCCTGAAGTGTGTTCCTTTTTGGCATCCCAGTATTCAAATTAGCCCCTAGTTAGCCCTGTCGTGTGTTCCATTTTGGTACCCCGTTCTCCAGTTGGTAAGTCCCGGCCTGGTGACCCGGTCCTGTCTTTGTCCTGACTCGATACTCTAGTCCCCGAGTTTGTCCTGACTCGATACTCTAGTCCCCGGGTTTGTCCCGACCGACACCCTAGTCCTCGAGTTTGTCCCGACCTGACACTCTAGTCCTCAAGTTTATCTCGACCCCGATACTCTATATGTCCACGGGTCTGTCCCACTTTGGTACCCCTTACTCCAGTATGTCCCGACCCGACGCTCTAGTCCTCGAGTTTCTCCCGATCCGACGCTCTAGTCCTCGAGTTTTTCCCGACCCAACGCTCTAGTCCTCGAGTTTCTCCCGATCCGACGCTCTAGTCCTCTAGTTTCTCCCGACCCGACGCCCTAGTCCTCGAGTTCGAACTCGTCGGGCGGGTCGATCTCGGGCATGATGAGCATCTCGGGCGTGACGGAGAGGCGCGGCCGACGGTGACACTCACTGGCCAGAAGGCGCGTCACGTCCAGAGGCTGACCGGCCCGGCGCCGCCGGCGCACCAGGAACGCGCGGATCATCGCCTGCACCTTGGCGATCTTCTTCACCTCGTGCTCGTACAGCCTGCGGTGGAGGAAAAGAGGGGTGAAGAGCGGGTACAGCCTGCGGTGCAAGAGAAAAACAGGATAGTGACTAGTGAGTACAGCCTTTGGTGGAGTGAAGTGAAGAACGGCACTGCGTACAGCCTGTGGTGAAGGGAAGAGGAGAGGTGGTGGTGACACTTTATATTTTTGGCGGGAAGAAGACGGAGGAAGGTGATACAGCTCGTATGTTGCAGCCTTTACATCATACTGAACGAGGCTGGTGTTTCAGATATGAGATATCCAGCATCCTTTTCAGCGTATTCGAAGCATGTTTGGACCTCGCTGCAAACTCCGATGCATGTCTTCTTGTGCTGCGTACTGTGTATTTACACACAAGGAGTGTGTATTTAAAACTGACCTGCTCATGTACTCCTCGTTGAAGTACTTGAGGAAGATCTTCTGCCGTCCCATACGGTAGCCGTCCAGCTTGAGACGTACCATCAGCAGTCGACAGTTCTCGCGCGTCACCTCAACGGTCTCGTCAAAGTCAAACGCCAGGAACTGATACCTGGTGACCAAGAAAAAAAATACATATCTGCGGGTGAAAAGGATATTTCTAAAGGCAGACGACAAATGTCTCAAAGGAAGCTCAGCGCGACACGTGATACAACGTTAGCTATTATCTCGGTAACATGATAGTTAAAGGCGCTTTGGTCCGTTGTCGCCAGTTCAGAAATCAAACCATCCGCGATCCTCACCTTCGTAAGAACTCGGCAAAGTCGATCCTCTGGGAGTAGCCGTCCTTCCTGATGGCGATGGTGTTGGCAATCTGCATGCACTTCAGCTGATGTGCGACCAGACCTGAAAGAAAGGCGATGGAACATCTCACTAGCTGCCGATATGTGTGAAGATGTTTGATGGATGCGATCTCTATAATGGCTCGGGAAGAAAACAGCCATGATCGTATTGGTTTTCCTTAGAAAAAAAAATCCTAAGTTCATGCTTTTAAGGGCATCACATATCTATCCAGAGCCATATCTGAAGTCCGAAAACGAGAGAGGACAAATGCTCATCCGACGGCGAACTGCGACTTGCCCTCGCTTCCCGCTCCCCCGTTTTTCATGTCCTCCCCTTGCCCAGTTCACCCGTGCTCCGGGTCATAGAAGTGTCTCAGGACCCCAGCTCACCGGTACCCCAAGGACCCCACCTCACCGGTACCCCAAGGACCCCACCTCACCCGTATCCCAGTGTTCCCAGCTCACCGGTATCCCAGGTGTCTGCGGCGCCCTCGCTGTTGGAGCGCACGCAGCGCACAAAGTGGGCCGTGCTGTTGATGAGTTTGTGCATCACCTCCATGGCGCTGTAGCGGTAGCACGAGGCCTGCGTCAGCAGCACCAGGCTGGTCTGCGACAGCCGGCCCCGCGAGCGCGTGTCGAACCGCTGCCGGGCGATAGCGGGAACGGACGACAGGGGGCTCGTCAGTGGAAGATAAGGCCTATAAGTGAGGAGGTGCACAGCATTACCATCAGGTGACTCGCCAGCGGAGGTATGACAATGAGAGCAGCCGCTCAGGGTGCGTCATCAGACTGTGCAGCTCAACTGTACAGACCAGCGGGTACAGATTCCAGACCTGTTAATTGTTCAATCGTGCGCTTTAGTCGCGAGCCTGGTCTACTACCGCCTGTCCGGGACGAAGTTCAGGCTATGGGATTTTCAGTGGGTCTAAGTGTCCTTGGTATGGTTAGCGTGTCTGCAGGTTAGGGGACACACTTCTAAGCTTGCTGGCCGACCCACTCTGGTGACGCTACATGTCCTTGACACGTGTCCTTTGTGACTGACCTTGTTTCCGACGTCGTCGTTGAGTTTGACGGGGCGCGCCTTGCCGCCCGCCTCGCGCTGCGCCTGCTCCCGGTCCATGGTCAGGTTACCCGTCTTGGTGAGCGGCAGCAGGAACATGGGCGCGATGAACGGGTTCTCTGACTGACGTAGCGTGTCAAACACCTCCGGGTCCAGGTAGTCCTGCGACAGAGAGAGGACGCGTCAGGGGTAGGATGAGCCAAACCCGAGTACAGATAGTCCTGTCACAGACCGAGGCGAGTCAGTTGAATGGCGGACCACCTAAAGGCATATTTGGTCCTGCCACAGAGACGGGTTCCTGAGCAGTAATATCAACCTTGTCTTGGTCCAGTTGGTTCTTGGTACTATCACGTAGGTCGTAGTTGGAACTCGTGAAAGGTATCCTATCATATAGGTCCAGATGGCCTGTCCCCACTTGTCGACTAAACCGAGTCCATATTTGCTATCTTTCCGTATCATATGCTTTTATGTGTTTCAAATTGAGGCTGATATCATTTGGAATACCTAGGTATAACTAGTTCTTCTAGGATGGACTCAAGCTCAAAGAAATTGATCACAATATCAGGGCCAAAGTAGTTACACTTCTCCGGTGGTTTAGTGTTTGGTGTGAGTGCGATCCATGACTTGCCTTGTTTTTGGCGACGATGTCCTTATTGGAGTAGGACACCTTTCCAGCGTAGTGAGCGATGGCGAATCCATCCTTTTCGGGGAAGAAATGGCGGCTTTCTATGGTCTCCTTGCAGTTCTCTGAAATCACAAGAACCATCATAAAGTCCTCCGATCACAATGAAAACTGGCCATTCAGTTCTTATAGCTGTCGCACCACCCGCTTCGGTGGCCCGAAGTGTACTAACTCTCTCCCTGCAAACGCCGAGCCCCAGCTCACCGACGAAGTGCTGGTCGGAGGCCTTCTCCGACAGGGTGCTCTCGTCCAGCAGCGCCAGCAGGCCCTCCCCCTTCTTCATCAGCATGTCGATGGTGGCACTGTTATCCATGTACGTGTAGGGAGACACCTCCAGGTCGTCACCACGGAAGTCGTCCTGCAGACGATAGGAATGGTGTGGTGGATAAGAATGCTCGCTTTTTTTGCTGATTTACCATGATTATTGTCAGTGTGAAATATGAACATCCGCGTCTGATGGTGATTTACGGTGAACGATCTGGTGTTGATGTTGTCGTCAAAGAAAATCATCTGCAGATAAGACAAATATTTCTTAGACAAGGATCCCAAGCGAAAAAGCTCCAAAAATTGTCCATCATGCACGACGCTGCATGTGACATGCTGCACCCAGTCCCTGACATAATTACTGACCATTTCCCACTGGAAGACGGACTGGTTGTAGAACGACTGCACTTGCTCGTTGAAGGCGTTGACGACCAGCTGTTCCAGGTAGTTGGTGCTGCGGCTCTCGAACCCGTACATGTCCAGCAGGCCGACCGTGTTGGTCTCGCCGCTGAAAAATGGAGACGAGTTTCATTGTCATCACCTCCTTTCCATTTTTTTTTTATTTTAAATATTCATCATCACATTTTTGTTGCTCTTATCTATGAAGCAGATAAGAGTTAAGGTCGAAAAGTTGAGGGATTTTGCAATTTTAGAGGAGTTTCGTTTGTACTCATGGTGTGTTAGGGGTATTTATGAATGAATGAAGACAATGAACATTTATCTTTTCCTAAGCTTCATTAAGAGGGTGTCACGATAGATGTCAAGCTTCGACTGCTGGCATTTTTTTAGGGTAGGGGTAACTCACAACAGCAGCCTGGTGAGGGTGAAGGAGGCGTTGACCCAGTTGACTACGCTATCCACCAGCCGGCCATACAGCAGGCGGGCCAGCGCGTCCCGCGAGGCGCGCGCCTGCTCTACTGTCTTGGCCTCCTTGACGGCCTCTCCGGCGACGATCCGACAGCGGTGCTCCAGCGACCAGACCAGCTTGGCCTCGTCCACAGACAGCAGGTACGACACTGGGGCGGGGAGGTCGGGGGCTCATTATTGAGACTCTAGAACTGAAGCTTTCAGACAGCGGCGTGTAGCGACACTGATTAGATTGGAGAAACCAGGGGCATAGGTACAGGGCACTACCACTGAGAACGATAGGTACTGGATGTTTCAGGAAGGTTATGGTCATCAGTGCAAACATCCTGAATAGATAGGAAAACGGAGGGGCGTGGAATGATGATGGCTGCTACTTGTTGGGAAATTAATCATAGCAGCGCCAGAGAACAGCCACAGCATCATGTTTGATAAGTGAAAAATATTGTGCACAATGACATGATGAAGGAAGGTATCCCTGCTACCGTGTGGTGTCTGACCTGTATTCAGGACATCCTTGTTGACGATCGTGACGCCCTCGCCGTCGTCCTCGAAGTCGACCTCGCCCAGAAGGATGATGGCCGCCATCGCCTTCCGCACCGTCTCCTGCTTGTCGCCGGAGATCTCCAGCATGTCCATGGTCCGCTCTGCCTCCTTGAACTTCTCGGCGCTGTCCACCGGGTCGAGGAACTTGTGCTTCGGCAGGAACCGGTAGTCCTGTTGAACGGGAGATAAGTCAGAGGTGAGACTCTGTTTGCCGTCATGTTCAAGCTGCCGTTTTCGCACTCGTCCTTTTGATTGCGGGACAAAATAAAATGTCTAACAACTAACTTGTGATATAAAATAGGTACATGAAATGGACTCAGAGTTGTGGTGTCCATCAATCTGGCTAGCCGATACTCACATCTTTCTTTTGCAGCTTGTAAATTCCCAGCTTTCCGCTCTGCTGCAGCCCGTAGTAGTAGGCGTATAGCGCGTTGAATGTACCGTCATTCCTGCCGCATAGATATCGGTAGTTGTCAGTCTCGTTTAAGTACATGAAACTCACGCAGTCAGCCTTCATAATCGGAATTATTCGATATATGGAAAATGTGCTGCGAAATAGATAGGCATCGCCTACTGCTGCATATTCTCGCCATATCAAACTCCACAAGTCCATGAGACCATTACGTTTCCAGATGTCCTTCCCCATACCACAGGTCGACCCAGACCTGCCGGCCGAGTAACCTCCAGCAGCTTCACTCACGGGCGGGTGTCGGTGACCCTCCAGCGCTCCAGCATGTAGTTCCACACGATCACGCCGCTCAGCCGGCCCGTCTTCGTGAAGGTGGTCTCGAAGTAGCGCACCTGTCGCGTGGAGGCCGCGTTCTGGCTGGTCGCCGCGCTACCCAACAGCTCCAGGACGAACCCGGCGCCCAGGACCTTCTCCGCCAGGGACTTACTCTGTCCAGATCGGAATAGAGGCGAGGGAGGTGGTGGGTGGGTGTGTCATCGTGGGGTACTGGAGGCACAGAACAGCCTATGAGTGCTACGTGTTACGGTGTTACGGGCGGCTGTGACCGCCCGTTGTGGCATGCCTGGCGCCGCCCGTGGCGCCTCCCCGGCTGGCCGCGCCCGGCGCCGCCCCTGCCGCGTGGCCCTCGGGCGGGGTCGAGGGCTGGCGCTGGCTGGGCGGTCGGCGGCCCGGGAGAGGCAGGGAGACCGTGGTTACGAGCGGTTGGCTCTGTGGTTCTTGTTTGGGCCTCTGCCGATAATACAGTAAAGCATCGAGTCTGAGTGTGTTCAGCTCCCGCAACATTTGGCGCGGTCGGTAGGACTGCAGAAGACGACAAAGGGTGAGTTCATTAATTTCATTTGATGATATTTATTGAAATTTAGTTCATGAATGTTGATTATCGTAACTAGTCTGTGCTCGACAAAAAGCGGGCGGTTTGCTCAAAAATAGAACGCCGATATTTTCTGTTCTGAGGGGAACGTTAGGAATAAGGCGGTCCGCCTGGGTGCAGTTTTGAATAATTTGGTGAATTGTTTCCGCTGGCCATGGATTTCAACGACACTATTTTGGTATCGCGAACCCCTCGTTTTGCGGGTATAGAGACAGATGATTGGGAGCGGTGGATATCTCGTTTCGAGTCGTTAACGGTGGGACTCGGAGACGTTGAGCGAGTTAAGCGGCTGTTGCCTCTGCTGGATGGCGTCGCACTCGATTATGCGCATTCGCTGTATCAGGGTGACAGTTCGTACTCTGAGATAAAGTCAGGACTTGGGGTCCGGTTTGGTCGGTCAATCGAGCCCTTACAGGCGCAGGCCGAGCTGGGGCGCGCCTCCCAGTCGCCGGGGGAATCAGCTGAGAGCTTCGCTGACCGTATTAAGAGACTGGGGCGGGCTGCGTTCCCTCATTCTACCGGTCCGTCAGGGGAGGGAAAAGGTCCTGAGGAAACGTATGCAGAGAGGGCGTTCGTGATGAAAACCCTGACGAGTCGGTTCATATGTGGACTTCGGGATGAGTGGCTCCAGACGAAACTGTGCCACCGTAATCCTGAGTCACTGTCTGCGGCTGTAGCGGTGATCCGAGAGCTGCATAAACGCCAGGAGGTCGTCCAGGCGGTACGCGCTGCTAACCCATCGACGCATACAGGTACTGGGCCCCTTCCCCTGGGTGCTGTAGCGTCAGCTGTTCATGCAGAGGTAGGAGGTGGGTCGCAGCAGGATGCAAGGATAGCTCAGCTGCAGCAGGAGATCGGCCAGCTGCGGTCTTCGTTGGAGGCGTTCGCCGTTGCCAAGACGGACCACCTGCCTGAGGCTGTCAAATGTTACGGGTGTGGTGCCCCCGGCCATTTTCGGCGTGACTGCCCGGTGGTACGCCGTGGTCAGCCGAGAACTGGACCGAGAGCCACCAGGGTGAAATGTTTTTCGTGCGGGCAGGAGGGTCACATTCGGAGCAACTGTCAGTCGGCTGTACAAGCTGCCACCCCGCTCCAACCGTTTTGTTTATTCTGTGGCGAGGCTGGGCACTGGATGGCGGCATGCCATTCTCGCCTGCAGCAGGGGCCTCCAGCAATGGGTGGACGTCGGGGGCTGATGTCGAGGGAAGCCCTTCCATCTGATAAGCCGGCGGAAAACTAGGGGCAGCTGGCCCTGTGGGACAAGAGCCGGCTGCGTGTATCCAGTCCCGATTAACTGCAACAGCCATTCGAGTCCACTTGGGCAGCCTCGAAGTATGGGCGCTGGTCGATTCGGGTGCCGACTTTTCCATGGTCAGGGATGGGCTCCAGCAGCGGTTGAAAACGGAACTGGCTTGTCAGGCCACCACCCCGACGCGGTCCGCGAAGGGAGCTGGTGGTAGCCCCCTGAACATCGTTGAGGTGCTCCGTGATGTCCCTATCCAGGTGGAGGAGGAGTCGATTGTGTGTCCACGACTGGCTGTGGTGTCGGGGCTGGTCTATGACGTGATCCTTGGACGTGACTTCTGTTGCCAAAACAGAACTATCATTGACGATGAGAAGGGGGTGATCCGTATGAAAGGGATGACGATTCCACTTCCAACATACCCTGAGATCCGTCCCCCGCGGGCTAGAGTCATTCTTGGCGATGCAGTAACACTACCAGGTCGTTCGGTAACAACGGTAGCAGCAGTGGTGCAGCGACTTGATGGCCAGGGACCTTTTGTGACGTCAGCAGGCTCGGTAAGTGGGATGATGGAGCCAAGCCGCACGGCGGAGCGTGAGGATCTATTGATTCCACGGGCTGTGGTGGTGATCGCCTCCAATGGCACCATACCTATCCGGTTGACGAATGTCGGAGCGGAGGGCGTCCGTCTCTTGAAGGGCTCTGATGTCGGGACGTTCCTTGCGTTTGGGGGCGGTGAAGACGCCCTGTGTGTTTTGTGTCCCGGGGCAGACTGTGCCGATTGCAATGTGGCGAGCTGTGGAGATGGAGGTAATCCATCTCATGATCCTGGAGAGGTGGAACCGGAGGTGCAACAAGCCCTGTCACCAGAACTGACAGACTTGAGTGAGAGAGGTCGTAACAAACTACGGGGTTTATTTGAGACCTACAGTGACGTCTTCAGTAAAAGACCGGGAGACATTGGTCGTACAGGTGTGACAAAACACAGGATTGACACGGGGGATGCAGTCCCAGTCAAACAACGTCCACGACGGATACCCATGAAAGTCCGAGACCAGGTAGAGAAACAAAAAGAAAAGATGTTACAGGATGGTGTCATTGAGGAAAGCGAAAGTCCGTGGTGTTCGCCGGTCGTGTTGGTGCGCAAGAAAGATGGATCCTTCCGCTTCTGCGTCGACCTGAGGGCTGTGAACGCAGTGACGAAGGGCTTCGCCATGCCGCTCCCACGAATCGACGACTCGCTCGATACCCTGTCAAGGGCGAGGTGGTTTACCACGCTGGACATGGCCACAGGGTATTGGCAGGTTGAACTGGCGGCTGAAGATCGAGAGAAGACGGCATTTTCGACTGGAAAAGGCCTCCATCAGTTCAGAGTCATGGCAATGGGTCTCAAGAACGCCAGCGGCACTTTCCAGAAGATGATGGAACTGATTCTCGCAGGCCTTGACACCAAAAGCTGTTTGGTGTACTTGGATGACGTCATCTTGTTCAACAGGACCGAGGAAGAACATCTGGCTACCCTGCAGGAGGTACTCCTGAGGATTCAGCAAGCCGGGCTGAAGCTAAAGGCACAGAAATGTCGATTCGCACGCAAGGAGGTGACTTTCCTTGGACATCTCGTCTCCGAGGAAGGGATACGTCCAGATCCGCATAACGTGGACAAGGTCCTGGCCTGGCCGCAGCCGTCATCTGAGGAGGAGATGAAAAGCTTCTTAGGCCTGTGCGGGTACTACGCGCGGTTTATTCAGGGGTATGCCGCGATTACAAAGCCACTTAGGGACGCCGCAGTAGAGGAGGGACGAATCAGGTGGTCCGAACCGATGCGCATTGCATTCGAGCTGTTGAAGTCCACTCTGTCCTCGCCTCCCGTACTGGCTTTGCCAACAGGTGAAGGGACGTTCGTCCTGTATACAGACGCATGCAACTCTGCTGTGGGTGTGGTGCTGGCTGAACGCATTGGAGATGAGGAAAAGGTGATCGCCTATGAGAGTAAGGCACTCACAAAGCAACAGACGAGATGGCCGACTTACGATAAGGAACTCTGGGCGATCGTTCATGGCATCAGACATTTCCGTCAGTACACTGTTGGTGCCAGATTTGAAGTGGTGACCGACCACAAGCCGCTGGCAAACATACCGACATCGATCGCAGCAGAGCGAGACGGCACAGGACGTCGTGGTCGATGGGCGATCGAGCTGAGTTCTTTCGACTTCAATGTTCGGATCCGCAGCGGTCTGGCCCACGGGAACGCTGATGCGCTGTCTCGCAGACCACCAGATATGGCGTCTGCGGTCCGATCTGGTCAAGCCCAAGGCCAGGGGTGGTGTCCCGGTCGCTCTGTCTCAGAGAGAGGAGATAGAACGGAGACGGTGGGGTCAGTAGCGGGCGGCTCGCCCGCGCCGACGGAAGGCGGTTCGTCTGAGTCGGTTGTGACTCTTGTAGCTCCAACTGCTGTATTCTCAAGGCTTACGCAGGAACCGGCTGCTGTATCAGTCGCTGTGTCACAATCAGTCCAAGAACGGACCCTCCCTCCAATCGCCCAGGCGCAAGCCAGTGACGCGACGCTGTCGGCTCTCCGAAGAGCACACGAGAGGAAGGAGAAGCCAAGGCCTGCAGCGTTCGCTGGGTGGGGAGTGCTGCGAAAACACTGGAGCAAGGTGCGCGTCATGAATGGAGTAATCGGCATTGCCTCGGGTCGACAGTTCCAGGCGGCGGTGCCTCAAACTGAACGGGCCGAGATCATCCGACTGGCGCATGATGATCCATCGAGCGGGCACATGGGTCGCAGACGGACCATCGCCCGGGTGAAGGCTCGATTCGTCTGGCCGGGGATGAATGAGGACATCCGGAGCTTCTGTGCCTCGTGCACGCCGTGTCAGCGGCGGTACAGACCGGCACCCAAAAGACGAGCACCGATGGTTACCGAAGTTACCTCACGACCCTTCCAGAGAATAGCCATGGACATCACGGAGATGCCTGTGTCGAGAAGAGGCAACCGATATGTGCTCGTGATCATGGATTACTTCTCAAAGTTCGTACGAATCTTCCCGATGCCGAATCAGAAGACAGAAACGGTGATGGAGGCACTCCTTCACTGGGTTCAGGAGCTTGGTGTTCCCGAGAGGCTTCACACAGATCAGGGCGCTCAATTCGAATCTCTGATGATGCGTGAGCTGTATCAGAGGCTCGGTATCCACAAGACTAGAACAACGCCTTATCATCCTGAGAGCGACGGGATGGTGGAGCGCTTCATGAGGACCCTGAAAGACATGGTGTCGAAATACATCGACAGCCAGGGCCTTGACTGGGACGAA